GGCAACCGATGCCGAAACCAACCAAACCACGTCCAAATGAACTCAAATTTTGTACACACACGTCACAAATGACACTACGAACCTACTCCAACTTCTGAAATTCCATTCTGACCCCGATATGAAATTTTTCACTACCGAGCGAAATCGTCAAATTTCCAACTTCGCCAATTCAAGCCCAATTCTACCACGGACCTCCAAATCATATTCCGGACACATTCCTAAGTCCAAAATTACCTAACGGAGCTACTGGAACCATAAAAATTCAAATTTGAGATCGTTTACACATAAGTCAACATCTAGTTGACTTTTTCAACTTAAGGTTCTAAATAAGAGACTACATGTCTCATTCCACTCTGAAACCACTCCGGACCCGAACCAACCAACCCGATACAATACAATACAACTAAATAACACATAAAGAAGCAGGAATAGGGGAAACAGGGCTATAACTTCCGAAACGACCGGCCGGATCGTTACAGGAAGTTTGGTCGCTTCTGCGATGCCGCAAAAGCAGAAAGGCTGGGCAGAATGTTTAAATTCAAGGGTTCACGATTTTTATTCATTTTGAACATTTCATACTCGGGTTTGGGCAAATCTTGAGAGGAGTGTTGAGGGGTTTCTTGAGGTAAGTCCCTTGTGCTTATTTTTTATCAATAATCTTGTTTCCCTATTGCATTTCCCACCTATTTTGTGTGTATTTAAGGTGGAATTTAAGAGTTCGAGGTTAGGAATTTGGAGAGTTTGATTTGGGGATTTTGGAGGCGATTTAGTGTCGGATTTTGGTTAATTTGGTATGGTTGGACTCGTGGTTGAATGGGCTTTCGAATTTTGTGACTTTTATCGAATTTCGAGACCTGAGCCTGGGGGGCGGCTTTTGAGTCGATTTTTGACTTTTGATTAATAACTTAGTATTTCATTTTGATTAATAACTTAGTATTTCATTATGGAATTTATTCCTTTAGCATGTGTTGATTATATCACATTGTTTGTGGCTAGATTCGAGGAATTATGAGGTCGTTTTGTGAGGCAAATATGTGTTGGAGTAGAGATTTATCTGGATCGAGGTAAGTAACACTTCTAAACTTGGCCTTGAGGGTTCGAAACCCTGAGTTATGTGTTATATGGTTGGTTGTGAGGTTACGCACATGCCAAGTGACGGGTGTGTGGGCGTGCACCGTACGAACTATGACCTGGTCGATTGCTGTTGACTTATTGATTACATTGAAATTTTGTACTCAGTTATATTTATTATTGCATATCATATCTCAGTCTCCGTTGCTATTTATTGTTGTATCATATAATCATTTTTGGGATAGTTTCACGATATTGTGAACCCGGGAGAGAGAGACTGGAGAGATTGATGACTGAGTGAGGCCGAGGGCCTGATTGAGAGTGACAATTGTGGGATCGAGCTACACGCTATAGCATGTTTATCGATTTATGCTTGGATCTGGCTTATTATAGCGCTTGGGCTGAAAGAGCCCCTATTGAGTCTGTACACACACCCAGTGAGCACAGTTGATTATAATGAGGGATGGATCTTCCCTGGATATGGACCTTGTCCGAATCATTTATATTTGGGGATGGATCTTCCCCTGGGCTGGATTAGCCTTATACAATACTGAGTGATTGAGTATTCTGAGAGTGTGAGTACACTAGACTTTCAGCATGGTGCATCACATATAGCATATGCATTGGTAATGTAGATGTGGAGAGGTCATACTCCTCATATCATTCAGAATTGATCTATTTTTACTTGAATTGAATTTAACTGTTGAACTTGAAAGCATGCCTATATTTCTGCACTGTTATTTCTATATTGAACTGTACCTGAAGAGTTCGTCACTACCTTTCAGTCCAAAGGTTAGATTTATTACTTATTTAGTTGGTTGTACTCAAGCTACACCCTGCACCTCATGTGCAGATCCAGGTGCTTCCGGTCACAGCAGTTGCTGAGTTGTGGAGTCCGGATTTTTGGAGACAATTGAGTTAGTTGTTTGGCGTTCGTGGACCTTGACTCTCCCTCCTTGTCTTTCAATTTATGTTTTAGTTTTTTTATCTAGACGGTGTATTAGACTATTTCTTTATGTAGATGCTCATGTACTCGGTGACGCCCCGATTTTGGGAGAGATTTTGTATTGAATTATGATTTCTTACTCTATTTTTGAAAGGTTTCCTTGATTTTCACTGCTTCCGTATCTTTCAAAGCTTTAGAGTGTTGGAGATGTCTACGTAGCCAGCTTGCCTAGTACTATGATAGGCGTCATCACGACATGTTGGTTTTGGGTCGTGACAAGTTGGTATCAGAGCCTAGGTTACATAGGTCTCACGAGTCATGAACATGTTTAGTAGAGTTTTGCGGATCGGTACAGAGACGTCTGTACTTATCTTCGAGAGGCTGCCGAACCCTTAGGAAACTTCACATTCTTGTATTCTTGTCGTGCGAACTTGTTGATGCCGATCACCAAAATTTATATTATTCTATTCTCTCACAGATGGTGAGGACACGTTCTACCGGACAGGACGGTTAGCCACTAGTACAACCAGCTAGGGCCAAGAGAGGCTGAGGTCGCGGTAGGGGCAGAGGTGCAGCTCATACAGCAGCTAGAGCAGCACCTGCAGATCCACCAGTTGCTCCAGCTCAGAAACCGGCTCCAGATGTAGTTGAGCTAGTGGGGCCAGCTGAGGCACCAACTATGCCCATTGTGATTCCAGGCCTTCAGGAGGCTCTGGCCCAGATATTGACTGTTTTCACTAGCCTTGCTCTAGTGGTTTCGGCTTAGGCCACACCAGCCACTTCTCGGGCTGGGGGAGGTACTCATACCCCCGCCTCCCATACTCCAGAGCAGGTGATGTAGGGACTTTAGATATCGGGAGTACTACCTACACAACAGGTTGTAGTTACTCAGGCCTAGGTGGGTCCCGTTATGACTGATGACGAGCAGAGGAGACTTGAGAGGTTTGGGAGGCTCCAGCCTCCATCATTCAGTGGGGCTGAGTAAGAGGATGCCTAGGAATATTTGGACAGTTGCCAGCGGATTCTTCGCACGACAGGTATTCTAGAGACCAGTGGGATCTCATTCACTATTTTTCAGTTTATTAGGGTTGCTTTCAGATGGTGGGAGGCCTATAAAAGGCGCAGGCTAGTCGATGCAGCACCACTTACATGACATGAGTTCTCCGTTCTCTTCTTGGAGAAGTTTGTGCCACATTCTCGCACGGAGGAGCTGCGCAGAAAATTTGAGCAGCTTTGTTAGGATGGCATGTCTGTGACCCAGTACGAGATGAGGTTTTCGGAGTTGGCTCATCACGTAGTTTGGTTGGTTCCCACTGATAGGCAGAGGATTAGGAGGTTCATTGATAGCCCCACATATCAGCTGCAATTGCTTATGACTAGGGAGAGGGTATCTGGTGTACATTGATGATATCCTGGTGTACTCTCGTAGCCAGGAGGAGCATGCCCAGCATTTGAGAGTTATGTTGCAGCGGTTAAGAGAGGAGAATCTTTATGCCAAGTTCTCCAAGTGTGAGTTGGCTTAGTTCAGTGGCATTCTTGGGGCACGTGGTGTCCAGTGAGGGGATTTAGGTGGATTTGAAGAAAATTGAGGTGGTTCAGAGTTGGCCCAAATCGTCCTCAGCTACGGAGATTCGGAGTATTTTCGGCTTGTCCGATTATTATCGTCGCTTTTTGGAGGGGTTCTTATCTATTGCATCGCCCTTGACTAAATTGACCCAAAAGGGTGCTCATTTCAGGTGGTCAGATGAGTGTGAGGAGAGCTTTCATAAGCTCAAGATTGTCTTGACCACAACTCCAGTTCTAGTTCTATCTTCAGCTTCTGGTTCTTATACAATGTATTGTGATGCTTCTCGGATCGGTATTGGGTGTGTCTTGATGCAGTGGGGTAGAGTAATTGCTTATACTTCGCATCAGTTGAAGCCCCATGAGAAGAACTACATTGTTCATGATTTGGAATTGGCTGCCATCGTTCATGCATTGAAGATTTGGAGGCATTATCTCTACGGTGTCTTGTGAGGTATTTACGGATCTTCGGAGTCTCCAGCACCTGCTCAAACAAAAGGACCTAAATTTGAGGCAGCGGCGATGGTTGGAGTTGCTAAAGAGCTATGATATCACTATTTTATATTATCCCGGGAAGGCCAATGTGGTGGCCGATGCCTTGATCGAAAGGCAGTGAGTATGGGTAGCCTTGCATTCATTCATGTTGATAAGAGACCACTTGCAGTTGAAGTTCAGGTCTTGGCCAACAAGTTCGTGAGATTAGATGTCTCGGAGCCCAGTCGGGTTCTAGCTTGTGTGGTTTCTCGGTCTTCCTTATATGATCGCATCAGAGAGCGCCAGTATGATGATCTCCATTTTCTTGTCCTTAAGGATACGGTTCAACACGATGATGCCAAAGATGTTACTATTGGGGATGATGGGGTGTTGAGGATGCAGGGTCGGATATGTGTGCCTAATGTAGATGGGCTACGTGAGTTGATTCTTGAGAAGACCCACAGTTCACGGTATTCCATTCATCCGGGTGCCGCGAAGATGTACCAGGACTTGAGGCAGTACTATTGGTGGAGAAGAATGAAGAAGGCTATAGTGGAGTTTGTAGCTTGGTGCCTTAATTGTCAGCAGGTAAAGTATGGGCATCAGAGACCGGGTGGATTGCTTCAGGGGCTAGAGATTCCAGAGTGGAAATAGGAGCGGATCACCATGGATTTTTTAGTTGGGCTCCCACGGACACTACTACAAAAAAGGCCTTTGGTGTCAATTATTTAGCGGCAATAAGGCAATTGTCCTAATGAATTCTTTAACCTGAAATACTGGCAGCTTATGACCATTTGCCACTAAAAGATATTCTTTAGTGACAATAAAAATAAATTGCCACTAAAAATCATTAACTGAAATTAATTTTGTATTATTTTAACTTTCCCTCCCTACAAAATAAAATAAAATCTTCCCTCCATTATTTTTGGACAAGAATTAAGTATTCCCTCCAATTAGAAACCAATACGACTTCTGCCAAAAAGAAAGAAAAATCTATTCCCTTTCGACAGTATCCGGCCTACAAAATCGCTAACAAAATCGCTACGGCCTGCGACAGTCGCCGCCCTACCACAGCTCCGGCGATCTTCTTCCCAAATCCCAGGTAACTTTCTCTTCTTCTCCAGGTAAATTTTGTGAAATCTGCTGTCAATCTTCTCCCTCTTATATGTCTTCCCCATATCTGCAAAGGTTTGTGAAATCTTCCCCAAATTAAGCTAAGAATGAGAGCTTTGATTTACGGAGCATGAATATATAGGAGTTTAAGGTAAGAAGATTTCCTTCATGACTTCTAATAAATCAATACGAGTACATAAATTACATAGGTCAATGGGTTGCAACTGGAAGGCGGTATCTACTCTTTGGACTTTAGGGGCATAAGACGATTGATGTTGAGTTGAATTAGTCATGGTTTTGACTTTCTTGTCTTGTTGTGATGCCATATAGATTCACTACTTCTAGTATTATGACAAATAGGTTGATATAGTTATGAACTTTCTCATAAATCCGTTCTCTTCATGGAAAATGGATTCAAGTTATATATTATTTTCCTTGTAATAAATGCAAAGAATAAAACATTACAAAAATATAGACTTGTACAACTTAAAGAAGAAAAGAGAATACCCTTAACTTAATTTGTCTGTTTGCGTTTTTTCTTCAATATATATCGGATCTTCCCCAAATCTGCTTGATTATGCTCAATCATCCCTGTCAATCTTCTCCCTATTATCTGTCTTCAACTTCTCTTTCCGTGTAGGTTTCAAGATCGCTGCACAAATCATTATTCCCTTCACTTTCTTATCTTTATCAGCAAAATATTCTACTTACCAGGTACCAATTTGTGATTTTTGATATCCAACTATGGCGTTTTGGAATTTGTGAAAGTATAGTTTTTTTGTGATTGCTAAATTGTTTGTGATATCTGGCTGCTGTTAGATTGATAGTCGATTGATTGAATTGATTCCTCTTCTGTTCCTCTATTATTTTATGAACTAGGGAATTTGTCGCTCGCGTGGTTATTAATCACATCAATGTATATTTAAAATTAAATTTAGTTGAGATAGAGTAGATAATTTTTTAACTATATATGCATAAGCAAGTTTGAGTATCTCTGTTAGGTACACAATGGTACTCTAAAAAATGAACACAGAGCAAACTAATCTAAGCTTATTCTCCATTGAACTACCCATTAAAGACTCCAAAAAACTATCAATAAAGGCAAACATGTGATTTATAATTTGAATATAAATAGATATAGTTGTTCAAAAAATCTGTCAATAAAGGCAAACAGGTAAGTCATTTGTTTCATTAGATGGAAAAGTTCACCATTGATAGTGAACATCCGCAAGGCTTACTTGTTTCATTAGATGGTAAAAATTATTATTGATTATGCTCATCTGCAAGGCCATGTTACTTATCATGTAGGAAAGATACAACTTAGTGAGTAAATGAAAGAGTGAAAGATAAAGAATGATTAAAGTAAAACGGAAGGAAAATCTAATGTTGTTCACTTTCTTCCTTACTCGTTGCTTTGGAGATAACTTTGTCCTCTATGAATAAGCCTCTCTTGATGGACAATAATCATTTTATTCATTTTTACTAGGAAACTAAATTCTTTTTTGGGGGCAGTTACTTCAGAACCCCATTTCCATGAATAACTTGACCAAAAGTATTTTAGCGCATTGTATTGAAGCCTCAATCTCCTTTTACAATAGCTGCTTCAATCTATGGAAGCTTCATTTTGGAGGCTTTGTCATGCCAAAAAATAGATGTTCGGTTCTCATCATCTATATGAATGATGTTGAATGGATCCACAATGTATATGAACATCTTCACTATAGGTTCTACTTTTTCTATTCTCTTTTTAATGCATCTCTTCATTTTTTTAGAAGAAAAACATGTTTTGCATACTCATTCCAGAGACATTACCACTCGGTTATAATTTTATACTTTTAATATATAAACTAACTTATATTCCATTTAGCTTTGGAACTAGAAACTATTAGATTGTACCTCAGTCTTAATCCAGTTGGGGTTAGTTATATGAATCATCTATATTCACCCAGCTCAATATAGACATGTTTTACTCAAATATTCAATAATACTGTGAAGCTAGAGATTCTTTACATCTTCCAAATTATATTCCTGACCCAAAAAAAAATGATCTCGATTATATTTTGGCCTCAACTAGTTGGTATGTGCTACATGCATCATTTACTTCCATTTTGTTCTGTTCTTCACTAACTTTGCTTGGATTTCGAGAGGTTATAGATCTTTTAAGACAATTTTCTTTTTTGATTTTAAGTCCACCTTCAATCATCATTGTGTTGCACCTATAGACCGGTGTATTTGGAGGTCTATGTAGCATAGCTAAACAATATTAGGTGAACTTCTCGTATTTTATCCTCTATGTCTGGTACTTGTACCTCCTGTCAAAATTTTGATTTCGAATCTTGTCGTACATCTGGTTAATATATGCATTTCTACAAAAACATCTTTTGAATATATTGGGACGTAGAGGCCCAACACTCACTCCATTATAATATTGTTGGTCTCATATTTAGAATTTACCTTTGACTTTGATAGGTATATTCTGATGACATAGCACTCCCTTATGTGCCACATTTTCATCTATCATATAATTCTTCTTTAGGAACTTGAAGCCCGAATATATGAATTGTCTATTGAATCCAGCAAAGCAACAGTAGATAAATTAAATTAGATGAATTGTTTGTATTTACATCACAGTTTTTGTTTAATCTCATCTCAATGCTGAGCATATTATCTATTTAGGAGCAAGAGGAAGTTCTTGAAAACCTTGCTTTTCTTTTCCTTCCACTTCTTTCCACCTTTTTTTTATCTTCTCCTGTTGATATGCTTTGTGTCTTGTTGATTGAGGACCAACTCTACACATCCTTTTTAGCCTTGTTAAAGGCTCGCTTGAGGTGTGTTCTGAAACTAGGAGCACATCAAACCATGTGTTTTGCTTCGCTTCATGTGATACTCTGATGCAAGGACCAAGGTGATGTGGCGTGCCCCACATACCAGACTCTGCTTCTAAAGTGCTATATCAGAAAATATTTTAATGAGTATGTTAATAATTAAAGATAGGAAACAAGAAATTTAGTACGATAAAACTAGCTAAATTTCTTGACATGAAAAGTCAAGCTAAAGATAAAATTAGAAACTTAAAATTGCATATGTACATTGAATTGTAGAATATAAGATGGTTTATGTACTTAGATTGACGTGATTTTCACTTCATATATTTCAATTTATTACAAATTTTCTTTCCATATATTGTTTTGTCCTTGTAGGTATTTTTTTCTTTCACTATGTGTGTGTGTATATACGTGTGTCTGTTTTTTTTTCATTTGTGCCTTTCTTTGCTAAATGCATTAATTGTGCTTTGCGCTTACAACCACTGCATACCTTGATTCTCCATCTTATTGCTAGTTTTTTTTTGCTTTGGTTGTCAGATTGGTTCGCTTGTAATTGCCCCTCCCCTTTCCCCTTTCTGAGCCGAGAGTCTACCAGAAACAACCTCTCTGCCTTTTTAAAGCCTCCCTGCCTCTCTACCCTTTCGTGGAGGGTCTACTGGAAACAACATATCTGACATTATTGTATTAGGATGTAAATGGGATAGAGCCTATACGAGTACAAATTTTTATATTAACTCATACAAAACGTAAGGATGGTAGACCACTGGATGATGATTCTGCCAAGGCAATGGTAAGATTTCTTTTTTCACTTAATTTCAAAATTGTGAAATAGTTAGGGAAAATAACTTAAAAGCGAAGAAATGAACTCCAAATTGGATTTATTGTGTATTCTATGGTTAGGTAATGATAATGTCACGACCCAAACTAACCTTGTCGTGATGACACATATCGTGGAACTAGGCAATCCGACTCATTTCCCAAACAACTGATATTTTTTTATTTCAAATGTAATTTCAAGTCTATTTAACATAAAAACCTTCGTAAAGGAGTTCAAATCAAAACAAAAGTGCGGAAAAAGAAATTTCCGACATTGGGATGCCACTAGTCATTAGCATCTACTAAAATTTGTCTGACAATATCAAGACTAACATAGTCTGAAAAATAGCTAAATACAACTAAAGGAAGATAAGAGGGAGAAGAGCAGGGCTGCGATCGCCAGACAGTTACCTTGCTATCCCCGAGAAAATCTGCAACCAGAATAATCAACAACGACTACCGTGTCCAGCTACACCTGGATCTGCACACAAGGTGCAGGGAGTAACGTGAGTACGCCAACTCAGTAAGTAACAGTAGTGACGAGCAACAAAGCATATAAAGTTCATATCATGAAATCTCGGTAAAATACAACATGCTTTAAAAATCAGTGTTTGAATCAAATCATCTCGTTTAAAACCCAGTTCCAATAAAAGTCATTTAAAGATATTTTTCAACAGTTTCAAACAGAGGCTCAAATGCAAAGGTGAGAAAAAATGATGAAATCATAAACAGCCCCTCGGGCATAACATCACTCATATACAGCCCCTCGAGCAAACCTCACAATCACTCATGCATCTCGGGAATACCTCACAATCAATCCTGCCTCCCAGTCATTCAGCACTCGCACTCAGTAGGTGCCTGCGCTCACTGGGGGTGTGTACAGACTCCGGAGGGGCTCCT